TGTTATTGACTGTTGTGATTTATTCAGTGTAGCCTCTGTATGCATGTAGATAAAGCTGGTATGTTATGCCAGTAAAGGAGAGTGATGTACATTGAACTAATTGTCACTAAAAACATGGTTGCCTTACTTGATATAATCTAGATTGCTGCTTAAGGGTGAAAGGCAATTTCGGCGACATAATTGTCAATAAGATGTCTGCCGCGTGACAGGCAAACACCCGTTTAGGTTTATGATCATGTATGAATTTCAGAGGCCGATAGTGCCGTTTAATAAAGAGGGCAGCCTCTCTTTTTAATCAAATGACATGTATGCGATTAAGGAGTTTCAGTCCGGCGCTGACGTCAACCGCACCCTAGGCAGTGCTGTCGATTCATCACGCATGCTGCGATCCGGCTCAATAAAATCATGGCGAATAAGGGCCTTATGATGAAGCATTCAGCAGACACAATAAGAATTTCCACATGTTTATGGAATGTTTGATGTGATTCATATTTATGTTTGAAGTCAGTCAACCTTTAGCAACACAGCACATGACAATCAAATGTTGATGTTTTTAAACAACACAAGCTCAGGACAATATTACAATATAAACCTTACCTTAAGGGGATTGTAAACACTTTTAATACATGTACGAAGTCTCTCTTCGAGGTTCTCTTGTTCTCTTATGCCTCTTATAAATTCAGTCCTATCAAAGGTCCTAAAAACTGACCACCAGCCAGTCTGTAAAATGCCAATGCATAAAATAAAAAATGAAACATAACCAATGGTTAATAAAAAAAGTCAATGACTTATTGCTGATCAAATGTAATTTCCTGAATTTTGGTGGTTAAATATTTTAACAATTGTGTAGTCATGGCATTGCAATCTGCCAAACGCAAATATGCATGCAGCACTTTTATATTTTGGCTTATTTCATAGTGTGCTGCATATATTTAGTGTAATTTGAAACTGATTTTATTTCGGTTTAAAGCAGGTAAGATGGACAAAAAGTCTAGGCTTTTTTCAGCTCTTCCTCCTGCATGTTCTCCCAGAGACGGCAAGTTTCTCCGGGCATGGTAGTCAGCCGTCTCGGGAGCGATGAAGATGAAGACTGGGCCGCCCGCCCTCCCACCACTGCGTGTGAGCCGCTGGGTTACTGCCCCCCCCCCCACTCACCCCAACCCAGCCGACTGACAGCGGCTACCGCTGCCGAATGATAAGCCAGTGGTGTCACCCACGCCGGCGTCCGAAATCCCCGGGCCTCGCAGCTACCGAGTGCTAATGCGGCAGCAGGGATGGAAGCTGCTTCTGGACCGGGGGGCAGACCTTAGGGCATCCTCTCACCAGCGTTTACAAAGAAGAGAAAATCATTTATTCACATCCGAATCCTGCAACTAAAGTCAAAAAGCCAAAAGTGATTCAACTAAACATTCTTTCTCAAGTGTATTCATTTATATGAATATATATATATATATATATATGAACTGAATAAGGATTTACTGGAAATAGTGCTAAATTTCAGTCTCATCGGTTTTTTGGGGTTCAGTATATTTCAGGCAGAGAGATCTGAGTCACTATAATGTTCCAGGAACAAGAAGTAACCAAGGTACAGAAATATCCGTAATATTAACATCTACCTATAGGAGTACAGAAATACCCATGACATTAGCACCTGGCTATAGGAGTGAGTTTAAATAGTTACATTATGTAGTTTGGTTTGCATCAGTGTGTCTGTTTAGGAAAATAATATGATTAACCTGTCAAGGGGTTGTTGACTTTCTTCAGCTGGTGGTACGGAAGCGGTAGGTACTGCGTGTGGGCGTCCATAAGGTAAAGACGCTCCCGTTCGGCAATGAGACACAAGCGAAAGGGAGACAATCCCCACATTCTCTGATTCATGACAAGCAGATGATGATGATGACAGCTGCTTCACCCTTCGTAGCCACAAATACAGGCAAAGAATGAGCATGTATTCATGATACCTTATAGACATGTTCAGAGAAGACGTCACATTACAATATCAGTACTAAATGAAACCGAGGAAGTGTGATATATTAAAAAAAAAAAAAAATCTGATTACGGTACAAGCCCGCAGCTGTGATTGATATCATAGGCAATGGCCTGTGCAGACATTTTCCCTCTCAAATGCCCTTGAGATTCCTCGAAGAAAAGTCTGACAGCAGGAGTATATTCGTGCCCTGTTACCACGAATGAAGTTGACTGCTTGTCATCTTGGGGAGACATGTTACTGGAATCTGGAACACCTCCTTTATTCTCAAAGGAGAGCCTGGCCAAAAGTGGAGCACCTAGAGTGGAGACACAAGTCTATATCATTCAATTAAAATGTAAATTCACATACTATTAATAAACCAGAATCGAGGCCTTGAGCACTTCATATATCAATGCAGAGTAACTCCCACTGGGTCTCTAGGTATTAATAAAGAGAATATCATACCTGCCGTTGCAAAAGTTAATCAACACCTGATCAATAGGATTAAAGCTACTGACTCAGAGTGATAGATTAGCTTTTTGCTGCTGTCTGAAACAACTGACAGTAACTCGGTGAGCATTTTTCCGGTCGCTAACAGTGGTTTACATGTGTGCCAAAGCAAGTGTTTAATTTCCCAGGGAAATATCAGTATGTGGAATGGGAATATCGCATCGTTTTTGGCTTTTACAAACTAGAACACAACAAAAACAACAAAAGCTCAAGTCTTGAGTGGCAAGAATTGAGTCCCTACTCGATAAATACACTAGTGGCCAAAATTGTGGGAACACTTAGCATTTTTGGCATTACGTTGTAAAAATATGTACACATATATTGGCGATAATGCTTATAAACAATCAAATGTGACACACTGGAGGATTAAATAAGTAACTGGAGTAACAGGAATAAAAGTTCTTTCTGAACACTGGAACTGTTTCCACAGTTTTGACCACTAGTCTAGGCCTAATAGACAAAGAAAAAACTCCAGATTGCGCTGCCCTTTAAATAGTCGGCTTTTACTGTGTGCTTCCTAGTCTGGAAATACTTAAAAATCCACTTGACTTGTGAACAGTATTAGAATATGTCTGACATACGGCATATTTCCCACTAGACAATGGAGCCATTATTTCTAAAGCTGACAATAACAGTTGTCACACTCAAAACAGTTAAAAACCAATAACCCCAACCATAACCTTGTGTAGACACTTCAATCATAGTATTAAAGACCGTGATAAGTATATATGACCTCTCTAGCTGGTAGTGCAAAGAGAGCACGATCCCAAATTGTATCAGCCTGTCCCTCATCCACCCACTATAATACACATTGTTTCCTACTTTAACCGTTCACGACACGTCTCACGTGGTTATTCGTTTGGTTCCAGCAATAACATCTGCCAATGTTTGTTTTGCCAGTGCATTGAAATAGCTCCACTTTTTATACCCAGTCATGACTTCAATTAAACCAATTCACCAAAATACTAACTTAATGATCCCATCCCATCACCCAAAATAATAAAATTTATGCTTAAGTAACGTAATGTGGTTAACCTTAAATGAATTTCTGTTTTAGTTGATCTATGATTTTTTCCGACATTACGCGTCAGTCCTTTTAATGTGAGATGGCCACTTTAAGTTTTACCACGGTAATGCAAAATCTGCCCTTCGATGCTGAGTCCTTACAAATTATGGGATATGGAAGCACGATGGATTTAAGGTTAAGGTGTGTCGTCCCAGAAAGCTGACGGTGCCGGGAAACTTCTATCCCTCATCTCAGCTGTAGTGAGTGCAAGGGCCACAGTGCACCCCATGCATACACAATCAGCCCTAATTAATCTCCTTCTCATTAACACAAATGGTTTTCTTAACGGCACTAATAACCTACTGCACTGCTGTCCAGCAACACAGGCTCAGCAGTAATAACTTTGGCTCAAAATCTACACCACAAGCATACATACAAAATGGATGCTTCACAACTGTGTGTTGATGCAGATTTCTAAGATCAAGCAAATTTAGCTGGACAAAAATGCAGAATATTCCTCTTTCTCAACATGAAATGACAGATCCTTTGAATTTCGCCCTGATTTGTAGGCCTACCAAAATTAGTTCAAGATAACAGCTTCCAGTGTGATTAAAATTGCTTCTATATCATACAATTTGTTGCCTAATTACTAAGTTACTCCTTTCTTTAAAATGCATCTGCAATGCTACATGTTGTAGAGAATACATTATCGGGGAGTTATACCCTTTAATTAAGGAATATAGGCCTAACCATTATGTTATAATTCCATGTCAGGTTTGTAAGTCTCTCCAAGGCTAGTTTTGAGCTCAACTCATTTCCTACTCTCTTCGATGTCCAGAAAACATGTTGGATAACAGGGTATTTTCCATGAAGAAAGTCACTCTCTGCCAGGGACTTCTGAGCTGACCTGTGGTACCTGCCTGGGAAACGCAAGGTAATCCCAGACCACACGTCCATCGCTAGTATCATCTCCAGCTGTAACCGTGGTGATAACGACAAACCTCACGTACCAAGAAAGTTAGCCTTCCGTGCAGCTCCACAAAACTTAAACAGGGCTCAAATGTAATCTACAGGGAGGCATGCGCATGCAGATGTCTGCTAGCAATTAATAATTATCATTATTATTATAATCAGTGCGTATTTCGGAAAAAGGCTTGATAATCACGTGTGTGTTTATGGGGGTGGGGGCTTCAGGGCAGATTTGGTCCCTACCAATGTTGAAACCTAACAGGCACCCAAACTGACAATAACAATTTTCCTGACCAATTTGGTCAAGGTCTTCGATCAGGAAAGCTTGCCTTCCAATTCTTCACCTTCAAGCTGAATAAAAATGGCGTCCATCAAGACATCCCTGTGTCACGTGACTGCTAGACCCATAGGCCTGTTTACCGTTTTATTTCAAGGATTCCGGGAAAATAGCTACGTGCAAATAATGTGTTTTGTCAACCACACCGCTGATCAGGGCCAGGAAAATGCACTGACATGAACACTGAAATGCACACTAAAGGCTCTGAATTGATCAGTCAATATCCATTTATTGCATTGGGCATCAATACAAAACATAGCAGTTGTATGTCCATTTGGTTCAGCACGTTCCAGTCATCTGACAGCATCTGACTGAAAAAAATATGAAGCTTTCGGAATCTAACTTACTTTTTATCCAAAATGGAACTGATGCATTGCATTTGCACATTTTAAAAGCACATATTATATGAAATGTTCAGTGTGCCGAGTGAATTATTCTTTATATAGATAGAACACAAAAGATTCAATCATTAATGCTTCAAAGCAATTAACTTAGATGGACTCTAGAGAATATGTCCATGGCGGATGGCAATATTTATATCCCCGACATTTCTCTTGTGTGACACAGGTTCTTTAGAGACAAATTCAGATAGGACTGTTTTTTTAAATCCTTTAATCCTCACCCTAATGAACACTTGATAACTGCACACTCATGGCTGAGATAAGCAGTTGCTTCAAGGAAGGCAGTCTCTGAAACTTCAAAGGATGTACGAGATATGTCACACTCAATGGAATTAGCAAGGCACCTTAACACCTCCCAATCTTCTGGCCTAGCCTTCCATCGAGTCTATTGATATGGATTTGAACCCTCCTAATAAAACAGGCCACGCCCTCGCCATAATCCAGCACCTGAGAATCAATGTGAATCGCCTATAGGCTATAGCAGGAGACTCGCTGTGAAATCGGGAGACCAGCGTAAAAGCCTCATATCATCATGGTATGTGGCAGTGTTCCCAAACCACGTCACATGCGTCATTGTGTTTTACCTAAGGCAGATTTAACCAACAGGAAAGACAATCAAATGCCCGCCCCCACCCCGATGAATTTTTTTAATCAGCAGAATATCGGTGGCAGTGGATCTTTGCTTTGTGTCCTTAATAGAGTTTGGTCCGGAGAGAAAAATAATTGGGGACCCCTGTAGTATGACAAGCAAGCTGTCCCATCATGCCTTGCAAAAGATGTAAAGCACTAAGAGCTGAATTGTGAGGACAGATGGCTGAGAATGGTGAGCCAGCGCATTCCTGAGGTTCTATCTTCAGGTAATATCTGCTATCTTTGTTTGCTTTTGTTTGAGTATGTTTTAAAATGACTGTTACGAGTAGCATCGCTACATAGACATGGACCCGGTGATACCAGAGGAGCTGCCCCTTACAGATATTTCAAGGTCACTGTACTGGTAGTGGGTTTGTGTCAACCATCTTTAGATGTTGTTTTAATGTTACCTTTGCATCATTAATAACATTTTTAGTATATTTATAAATGTTTATAAACTAATGTACGTACTGTATACTGTAATAAACAGAACAGAGGGAATCAAATGTAATATACATTACTTAAGTTTGCATACTGTATATAAAGGTAATAATTTTTATTTATTCTGAATAAAGAAAAGGTCTAAAGGGAACTCCAACTTGATAACTTTGTCTTAATTTGCATATCTTGATGCTTTAATCAAATTGGTCAACAGAAGTTCCGGCTGCTTCTACGTCCGCGCTTGATGCCTCTCCGCTGACACTCCGATTATGCGGGCTGAATCCCCAATAACACAAATTTATATACGAAATAAGTAGCCTTGGAGATTGCGAACACTATTGTAGTGAATACTGAGCGACTGTGGCATCAAGACTGAGACTGAGTGATGTGAGATGAGATGCTTGACGCTGAGACGCAGCGCTGCCGTTTCCACGGCCAAATTTCTCTTACAGCGTAAAATACCGAGTGCTGGGAGAGCTGGTTGTAAGTCCAGGCGGTCGTTATACAGGTAGGTCATTAAGTGAGGACTGCCTGTACTATATACTGTACAAACCATGTCATTAACAGTGCAATACAAACAAAAGCTGCTTGCTGAGCTTGCGCTAAGGTTTGTATGCATCTTAGCTCAATCTCAGAATAAATTAAAGATAGTATTATGAACATTCATCTAGCATCTTTCATCAAAAAATTGCAATTAAAATATTTCATGCATTTTAATGCCTGGAAATGAGGAGTGTTTTCTGTTTGATGATGGTTATCAGCATGGCCCATGGAGCACAGAATAGACAGTCACAAATATCACAAGCGATGTCATTTTATTACTTTTCTCCTTCTGTGCAGCTCTTCAAAAATGAAACGGACTTGGTGTCACAGAAGGTGATCAACGGCTACTCCTGGATGGCATCATGGATCTTTGGCCCAATGAACCAAAGAGCTTCTTTCCAGGCTTCAGAAATGCGATGTGTCAAGTGTTTGAAGCGGGGGTATTTTGGTCAGTTTGGATGAGGGACACGACTGACTGGCGCTCAAACTGATCCGGGGGGAGCAGTGCCAGGGAGCATTAACTGACACTGTCAACACGCTCCCCAGGGCAGAATTTGTGTCGGCTGTTAGATAAGCCCTACACGGAGTGATCTGATGCTCGCTCTTAATGTTTTATCAAGGATTATTCTCATACAAGTCAAGGTAACTTTCAATGGATGAGCCAGGTTTTAGCTGCTTGCCAGGGAAGCACAATTAGGTTTTTAGGTCCCCGCAGTCCTTGGCAACTCCCATTTCTGCCCGTGGCTCTCTGAAGGACTTGGAGTCGTATGCCCACGCGGCGTCTACCCCCTCCCCGGTTACGGCATCGGGCTCCCACGTAGGGAAGGGGAAGCGACAGGCCACCACCCTGGCGGCACCCGACAGGTCCAACTGCAGCTTGTTCTCCAACGGCACCATCTGTTGAGGTCAAATATAGGAACCTGTTACTTCGAGTGGAAGCCTTCTCACTGGAGCCCACTGGAGATCTGTGGCATAACATGAACTGGCTGCATGAAAACTCAAGACTGTAAATCACTACTTCAACTTTATTCATTTATTGTAGCAAGAAAAAAATGTTAACGGATATTATTCACTTACTTTTCCCTGCACATGTGTAGTCTTGTGTCTATATATACATACATACACACACACACACACACACCATACATAATCATTTTGAATTAAACTTACCATCTGTGGGACGCCAAATATCACAATATTGGAGTACTGAGAAAAATTTACCTGAATAGAAAAAAAAGACATTTATGCAATTACAACTGACTTAGAAATGAGGAATGAGGAATATATGTGTGTGTGTGTGTGTATATATATATACACACATATATACACATATATATATATATATATATACACAAATATACACATATATATACACATATATATACACACACACACATATATATATATATATATATATATATATATATATATATACACACATACATATTAGTGCTGTCAAACAATTAAATTTTTTAATCAGATTAATCACAGGGTTCCTGTAGATTAATTTTGATTAATCACGATTATATATCATTCATTTTTAATCTATATTAATCGCATTTCATTTTGCATGAGCAAACAGGTTCAAGAAAAAAGGGAATATATATGCACTTAACATGTTTATTGAACATCTTGAACACGAGTCGGATGCATTAATTCCATCTGCCACAGAAGTGCAATACCATGGACCCATATCAAAAAGCAAGATTTTTTGCTTAGCCGGACAACTTGTCAGATTTAAGATACCTCAGTTTAAATGGTCTTTATCTTCATTCACTTACAATTAGCCCAAACTACCGTAAATCCAACAAATAATCAGACTAATCATGAAATCCAATTCTAGCCCAGTTAATTGCCCTTGTTAGCAATATCAGTTAACACATTACGCGTGGTTCTTTACGTATAAAACTCCGTAGCAACACGTCCACAAGTTGGACGGTATACTGTGTGCGACCGATTTAATGAGCCACAAATGAGAAGTAGTGCTTAAACAGTATAAAACTACAACTTTCCCTTCTGTTGATAAAGGCCGCAGCCATCTCGGATTCTGAACTTGGGATCCTCTGTGCTGCTCCGAGAAATTTCTCGGATCTCCGAGAAACGGGAGCGCGCATATCGTCACTTCCGGCTTCAAAACTCGGAAGAAGACTCGGAATACGAGTTCCGAGGGCAAATTGAACGCACCAAAACTGCCTGAAATGGGTTGACAGAGACATTTCAGGGATTTTGAGTCATTCTGCGCTGCAGATGGGTTAATTGTGTTAAAAATTTTAATCAGATTAATCATGATGATGGATTAATCTGCGTTAACCCGTTAATTTTGACAGCCCTCATATATATATATATATATATATATATATATATATATATATATGTGCTTATGAAATACTACTTTGGTATAGTTTTACATGAAAAGTGATACACACACACAGATGGGACTGAATCTGGACATATGACTATTCTGCGAAGAACAGGATTCAAACCTGTGACATTTCGGTCACAGGCACAGGGGTCTAACCTGCTGAGCCATACACTGACCCCCCCCCCACCACGTCGGAATTTTTGATGTTATGGTTTGATGACAATAAAATATGGATCAATTTTAATGAACAATTACAACAACAAGTTCAAAAACAACGCCCCAGCGCGGGAATAAAATACGAAATATATGGCAATACCTCCCCCTGCTGACAGAAACAGTATGATCTACACAAAATTACTCAGAAGTCGGGAGAGTAATGGCAGCCCGGAATGCATCGTGAACATTCTTTGAGTGCCCCCACTTTCCATATTGTTCACGGCCGTTTGGACCACACATCACGGTCTGTAAAGGCTACACTCATAACTTCTACATAGTCTGGATCTTCCCATAACTGCTCACACATTAACAATTCTAGATCATATTTTAAAAATTAATCGGGAGGTGACATGAAATGCATCGTATTACTCTATATATTAATTTTAATGGTATATTTTAATTGCCTCTTTACAAATGTACTAGTATAAACTACTATATCAGGGATTAAAAAAGCACTTACATTAGGTACCTTTATCTTAATACTGTACTAAAGAGTGGGGCATCTCCTCTTATAAAATGGACAATCTGGCGGAATTGTTGATTCAAAGCCTTACCTTCCATAAATCCGATCTGTAGAAGGTGGCGTTGTGATGGACCCCCTCCTTCCATGCCCTGTACCTTGAGTACCAAACCAGCCACGGATTTAACTCGAAGCCAACTGCCTGAAAGCCTTGTTTGGCAGCTGCTATCACCTATGAGAAACGGTGATACTGTGCACATTAGTGGCTGACATGCATACAGTGGCTTACCACACAACAGAACACATTTGCAGGGGAAAAATGAACATATCACTATGCGTAATTATTACCAAATGCATTTGAAATTAATGTGATAGAATTCAATACATCGCAAAAATGTGTTTGAATATAAATTCTAATTCGGTTCTGGTCTTAATTCTATTCCTACTTTATGTGTACCGACTAAATGTTCTGCAACACACACACACACATATATATATATAGTCAATATAAGCGGGAGTGTCGATAGACCTCTAATTGGGGTTAGTTTCTGTTCTTTCTTACGGACATAAATAATGAGATCATCGTTTTGGTGCTTGCGAAGTCACGGCAACGTCATTCAATCCGCGGTTCAAGCACTAGGTGGCAGTAATAAATCATCCAACCACTTACAATTCTGCCGTCTCCACTTCCTATGTCCACCAGCGTACCGGTCCGGTATCGGAGGAGCTTCAGGACGTTATTGACCTGGGCCGGCGTGGCTGGCACGAAGGGAAGGCACACTTTCCGGAATGCGGGCGTTACAAACGGCGTTGCGATGGCGTACAGCGCAATGAGTGTTCCTCCGACGAAGCCCGTTACAACCAAGCCCCAACGGTGTCTCCTACTGCCGTCGATCGGCGGTGTGTCCTCCTTGACAGAACTTGCGCCTCGACTGAGCTGTGGCATAGCCGTTAAGCTGGGAGCTCGTTGACATTCACCGCCGGTTTTCAGTAATACTGTTTCCCAAAAAAGGAATCGCCACAACAGTTGCACATATAACAAGTCATCTGTGATTCAATCCTATACAATGGTGAAGTTTTGAGGATTGAGAAAAAACGGGGCGAAATTGAAAATACTCCTATTCCCAATAACAAAAAATTCTTAGATATCGAACTACCTGGAATCCTGGATACCACATGTAGCTCTTGAGTCCATCGGCAAAATTCGTCCGTACTGAAAGCGATGTAACTGTATAATAGGTCCGCCGAATTGTTGTCTAGACAATAGCCTATACTAGCTGTGCAAGGTTGTATCATTTGATCGACAAAAACAGGAATCAGTACTCACAGTATTACTTATTTTTATTTTAAATAAGTGCGATAATAATAAATAAAAAATTCAAAATTTTGAATATAGACCATTATATTCGAATAGTAGGCTATATAGGCCGATGTATGAACACACCTATCATAGAATAATAAAGCAATAAGAAATAATCACAAGGCCATTACGTAACTGTCTCTTCAGCATACACAATAAATAATCAAAATTGCTATTAAAAATTATAAAATAAAGTCTCTTATACCCTGTTATTAAAAAAATAAAACTTTTATGCGTTTTCAAATTATCAGCGACAGTGCAAATATCTTAACTCATCATCCAAACGTCAGAAACACGCGAGAACTCTAGCAATCATCCACCCACGCTCTCCGATTAATCCATATTTCTTTATAAAAATACACAGAATAAAATAAAGCAATAAATAACCACAAGGAGTGTAACATTTTAAAACCGTAAACCACAATATTTTTAACAAGTTTAAAAATAATAGATTAATAATTATACTTAAAAATATTCCAATCAAAAATACTAGAACAGCAACAATCATTTGTCGCAGTTACGTTTCGGGGGTACATTCTGCACATGGTGCCAGTCTATCAACAACAACAATATTAGGGTGAATAGAAATGTAAAAAAGTTTCAGTTTTAAAAGCAAAGATGAAAACTCGTCGACGTAGCTACTTGGAGCTACGTTTGGAAACAGAAACGGATTCATTCCTTGAAAGCGTAAATTTCCAACGTAAGCATTAATATTAATCCAGTGTAGTTCATGTTGGGTCCGACAGCACAGTATACGTTGTTCACATTTTATGTTTAGTTCTTATGACCAAAGTCGAGTAATCGTACGAAAGCACTTATGCCATTTTAAGGAGGTATGTCGATCATTGCTCTGCAGAATTGTTCGTTTTTACGTTTATCCTCGGTTTCGCTTTGTGATCTTCTTTTGCAGAGTTTCCTCTTAAAACAAGATTGGCGATCTTGCACTTCAAGTCGATAAGGTCTCCGATAGTTCGCAGCTCCAATCCAATCGCGATAACCTCCTCTGTAAAAGAAATGTGTTGTAAGCCATATTTAAGTTAATGTAATTTCATATCAATTTAAAAACTAAGTGATATTTAAAAATATATTTTGAGCAACATAACTTACTTTTTGCCATTTTCTTACGGTTTTCTTGTCCGTTCAGATCTCTCCACGGCCGACGATTGCCTGCAAGTCGTGATTGTTTTTAATGGCGCTGCTATTTCCTTTTCCAGGTTCCTGTATATGAGTACAGCGTAAGTAGTGTCAGTCTTGGCAGGGAAATCCCAGACAGTCACGAGAGCCGCTCTTGCGAAACGCTGTGCTACACTGCATACGTCGTTTTTTCCACGCAGAGCCAAACATTAAGTGAAACTTTCTTTCTGTCGTACAAGTCAGAACACGATCATGTCGACGGTGTTCCTCCTGTCGTCATTCCAGCAGAAAAATATTTATTAATAAAAATGTAGTAGTCTGTAAAATCACAACAATAAAATATCAAAAATTCATAAATTAACAAATGTGCGATCAATTAAAATAGCCATGGCCATCAAAACACTTAAGATGTTACCTTAAATGCAAGCCATTAAAAGATAACCTTTAAAAGAGGAACACATCTGCAGACCTACTTCTACACAAGAGTCGGGCTAAGACAGATAGATACATTTCTAAAACACGTAAAAATCAGACTTCGGGAATAAAACAAGGTTAATCACAATGTAAACACGAAATCCGCAAGCCTTAATAAGTAATTTTAAAAGGGTGCTACAAGTAATCAACCATGCCAACATAGTGCTCAGTAAATACATGCATTCAATTAAAACAAATTAAATAAAACGCACAAAAAACAAAGCGACTTACATAAAACGCGAAACCACAGCGCAATTCACCAAGAAAGAAAGCTATTGGTCGTTGCGTATGTATGACACAAGAGGATTCCCACCCCGAGAATGAAAATTTTATATGGTGGATGTGGTAAAATACGATCCTAATGTTAAATAGTAAAACATAAAAGCATTACTGGATGCTCAAGAACTGGGCTTAAGTTAATAGATCACAGAGGCATAAACATATACAGTTTACCCTGTCCTATTTACCCAATTTTCATCCTTACTAAATAAAATGCATGGCAGTATTAACATATGTCACAGCTTGCCCCTGCTGTTATTATATTGTTGTGTGCGTGGGTTTGTCCGTGTCCTGTGTGAACCCTGTCCGATCCTCGTGTTCCCTTAGCCTTATATAAATTACCCACCGTGTGTGTAGCTGAACGTCCAGTGTTTGTCTTCCCCGTGTTCCGAGCTCCTGGATAATCTGAGTCGTCTAAGTTTGGGTGTCTTGCTGGCAGCTTTCGTTTTTAAGTATATATGTAGGCCTATTGCGACACCCACAAGACGCACCTCCGTTGCCCTGCTTTTGGTTGGTTGTTCCTTCTTTACCACATTTTTTTTTGTCACATATATGATTATGAGGGAATTCACTGTAATATGTAATGTTGTTTGTGTTTCAGGGATTCAAATAGGCAATCAAGGATCGTAGCCTGGGGTTGGTTCTTTTGTCGCAAGCACGGCACTTTAGCTCGATTTATACATATTAGTGACTGTGGAAATCTGACTTTTACACCAGAAATAATTCAAGGGCCCATTATTCTAGACTAGTGTTGGTCAAATTACACCGTCTAAATATAATGGCATTAAATGACCTTACTTTGGGACAAGTTGATACGAGTTTAAAATTCAAATCGAGCAAATATGTGCTTAATACCATGTCAAATTTAGGGGAATGGGTGTCACATGATTACTGCCACTATCTGTTGTTATACGTCAGTGGTTACTGGAAATTCTGCAATATTTATGAGAGGCGCCACCTGATTGGTTGGTGAACGTGAAAACTTAATATTCGGATCCCTGAACACGTCATCTTTTTCGTTTCGCCATTATCAGCAAATATGGTAACCCTGGATTGGGGAGAAGGCAACAAATAGCGTAAAGTTAAAATCTTAACTAGTTCGGATTTAAAGGAACCCAAGGTTTTAGCTTGCGCTACACTAACAGGAAGTTTTGTGAAGTGTTTTCGCAAATCCAGTTTAAAATGTTCTCACGCTAATTTCCACCTATGGCCACGACTTCCTGTATTTGAATTAATATCGAAACAACTATTTGGTTGAGCAGTATCCAGACCTGTTAAAATATTATATACCTGGATCATGCCATTTGTCTCCTTTGCTCGAGGCTGAACAGATTCAGCTAAGCTAACGTCTCAAAGCGATGACGTGATGTTTGTCTTGCGAAACGGCATAAGCTGACCAGAGTTTTTTCGCGTAGTCCAAGGATTACCAGCTGGAGGACTCTGGACAGATATACACTTTTTTTTTGTATTTAATTTGGATTCACAGACCACCCCAACAAACAGTTGGGGACTACTGGTGTATCCTGTGACAGGTTGGCGCCCCACCCTGGCTTGTTCCATGCCTTGCACCCGTAACCTCCGGGATAGGCTCCAGCCACCCTGCCATCCTGAATAGGACAAGTGGTTACAGAAAATGGATGGATGGATGGATGGATGGACGGATGGATGGACGGACTACTGGTGTAGCCTATGCATGGGTATAGAAGCTCTAAAAATTTACATAGCACATTTAGAATTTTGTGCTGAATGGTACAGACCCTGGTTTTATTTCTGTAAAGATTTTAATATAAAGATGCTTTTTTTCAAGCCTCAAATTGTATACATACACTGACCACTTCCCCAACTTAACAGCCACTGTGACTACAAGAGATACATATCGGAAGATATGTATCTTTTGCATTGTATTATATGTAACAGGAAGAAAACACTTCAAAAAGTGTATGTACTTCTGTGTGTGGGGCTGCAACTTCATAAAATATCAGGGCGGGCCAAGGTTAAAACAAGTTATCAGCAGACTTTAATTCAGCCTGAAGTGGATATACATACAGAATTCAAACAGCTGAAACACGGCTGATCAAACTGTGGCCTTTTGACAGTCTACTAAAACACTACTGCTACTCTGACATGCTTAGATACTACTGTAAGCTTGGAAAAAGGGGTGTGGATGTAATTATGCTGAATTATTGCCAAAACAAAGACAAATGGAATTGGTAGCCCCCTCTTATTTGGTAAAGGAAGACAATTATGTTTTACATATTGTTCAAGTTATTATGCAAGTGACATAAATGCACTAACAAATACTAAATGCAAGTTTACAAATGATAAAAAATATATCGAAGTAAGTTGGCTTTGTTAGAATTCAGGTTAAATATTTTAAATTCCCGTTACTGCAATTTTGACATGAAATATGACCTCAGGAGTTAAACAACCAATTCACATTGTACATTGTGTTACAGCAATCAACCCATGTAACTGACTTTGACTTTTTTTAATAAAAAAAAAATTTAAAAATGACCCACATGCTATTGTAAGATGCCTAAAGATATAACTACATTCGTTAGCAACTTCCAAACTGTCCATGTAATATATCACACCAGTCTATTACTTCTCCAAAATGCTATACAAGCACAATGTAATGTAATGCAATGCATGGCAAGCCATCCGTATGCCAGTTTGATCCCAGTGTCATTTCCCCCAGACGCAAGACATCTCAGATTTATGAGCTTAATTTCACGGGACAGCTTCCAAATCATATCACTGATATTACTGAGCACATGAATATATTATTCAAAATACTACAGTGAAAACATCAAGTTATCCTCTCATATTCAAAATGCACGATCCATAGAGCACAGGACTGTTCACTTCAGAGATCACAGGAGTTTACTATTGTCATTTTGGTACACAAGATAGTATTACACTCTCCCAGGCCTTCCTCACTGAAGGAGAGCGCAGGGTAGGGTGTGCACACCTGATGTCCACAGATACCAACAGGCTACTTATAAAGACAGTATTCATATAAACCTATAGGCGCGATTCAGCACAAACTGCATTTAGAAGGTATTATTTCTTCTCTGGTTCTGATTGTTTCTCCATGGCAAACATGTACAAGAAACTGCATTATATTTTGATAATCTTAAACAGAATGATGGTTGGATGAGGCAAAAAAACAGTATACACAAATTGGAGGAAAAAAGACATAATTACATGACGTTCACTTGCGGGGGAGGGGGGGCAATAGAAGCATGGAGCGTTCTTTTTTTGTTGTTTGTTTGTTTGTTTGTTTGTTTTTTTTTTGTAAAAACACTGCTTTGAAAAATGTAACCGACATCTGAATTCCCCACTGCCCCCCTCCCCAAAAGCTTGGTAGTATTCCTTTGGCAAAGGCCAGCATTCCAGGAAAACAACTCTGCTTGTTATTTCTTTCCAATCTCAACTTTTCAGTGGCAAAAATCTAGCGGTCGTGTTTTCGACATGGTCTGAATGGAACAGGATCCAGGCCGTACGCATGTTGCACGTATCTGCCAGGCAGTCACCAGTGCAAAGGACAGCGGCCTAGTGATGCGAGCCTGCCACTGGGGGGCCCTCTTCCACATGCAGGTCCCGGGTTGCTGCGTCCTCCTGTGGTGCCGCGCTGGCGCTGGCGCTGAGCGAGTATGGAGGGGGCGCGTCACGGATGCTGCCGGGCTCGCAGCTCTCGGGGATGAGAATGGCTCGCGATTCGCCCACGGCATCGCTCTGGGCATACTCACTGTATGGTGGAGGCTTCAGGTCATCGCCTGTCCAATCAGAAACAGAGAAACAAGCTGAAAATATTATCACGTTCCAGCCAATCAGAGCGGAACACCTACAACTTTAAGCATAAATGACATTTGTGGAAAGACCTCTGAAGAGCTCCTGCAGCTCAACAAGTAGCTTGTTGCCCTAACGATACAAAGGTTGTTGGTTCAGATTGCAAAGAGCACACACAAAAATTGTAACCCTTCCCTCTACTATAACTTGCTTAGAATAGAACCATCAAATAATATAATGAATATAACAGATAAACGGTTATAGCTAGTCGTCCATGTGCGTCATGAAGTAGCGTATAGTGTTAAATGTGCAGAAATCCATAATGCATTCTGTTGAGGAGCTACATGAGGGACCTAATTAGGTAGATCATTATAAGGATGTGCATCACTACCATGTGTCAGATGTCCCTTTGTCATTGCTGTGAGCCCTAAAATAACTTCCAAGCAAATTAAGTCAGATAACCATTTATTTAATCGGAAGGGACAAGTGGTAGGTTTGGGGCAGAAAATAAGCATCATCTGAATATCTTCCTGGGCACCAGATCCTGTGATTTACGAGGTCAGCAGCTGTGAGACTGAGCTCCAACATGCAAGATGCTGCCTGACCGACACTGTCTATCCATGTCCTTCATGTGACCTCGGACGGTTAGACACATCCGGGCGTAACGCGAGGCATCCTCGGGACCAGAAATATCGAGATGGGGGGGATTAGCAGCACATCTCATTTTTAGGAGAACATGACCTCATGGAGAACTGGGGTTGATTTGTATTTTGAAAACCTGCAGAGTAACTTGCCGACAATGATTGATTTGTCTTAAAAAAAAAAAAAGAAAAAAAAAAAAGCTGAAGATTGATCCCCATCAACCAGGAAATATCGGTATGCTTTACAGGTCTCACAGGCTGAGCAAGGCTAAGTTCCAGTCAATTCTTAAGCTTTTTAAGGTATTCATGCTAATTCTACCTCAGGGGTATTTCCACAATACAATTTATATCGTTCATTAGATAGATTAAATTGTACCATCTCATTTTCACATGACCTCTCTAAAATCTTCAATAATAGATATTTATAAAGGCCTAATTTACGGTGGGTTGTCAGTGTGATTCTCCCACCTAATAATATATTAGCTGCAACACTTTGCGCTAAAGCATCAGGGATGAAAAGCAGCCGGTGGTTTCCAGCCTGCCAGTCAGAGCTGATCTGTTAGAGGGGAAGTACTGAACAGACATGAAGGACAGTGAGGAAGGTGTGTGTCTGACAGATGGTTGGAGAACGTGGCCGGCGACAGAGTGACATGTGTAACTAAGAGCGGAGTGAGGAGCGCTCCCTTACTTCCCAAGACGGCTTCGTAAGGGGGAGGCACGTCCAGATGAGTGTACGAAGGCGCGGGCGGCAGCGATGCGGAAGGCTCGCCGACGGAGCTGTCATCCTGGACACCGTACCAGCTGGGCCAGATCGACGTCTGTGAACAAGAATGGATGTGGGAGTTGAACACCCACTGCAGCGCCGCGGCAACAGCAGGAGAGGCGGCTGCGCTGGCGGGCCACCAGCGCACGGACACGGCCGCGGGGCCAAGGCAGATATTCGTGCTCGTTGCAGTCTCCCTCGTCCAGATCCGCATGGACTGATTCATACTCTGCCTTCATCACACTCCCCGTGAAAGTAGTAACTGCAGAAGAAACTTATGTGGGCGAACCAGCATCTTCACGAAGCCAACCCTGTGCAAATTATTTGCCTGGAAAATACACTCTGTAAAAATATTTTAAAAATTAATAACCTCTGTTCCTGTTGTAGATATGTAAAGCCTTAGTTATCCATACATACAAGGAAAGTTGTGATTATTTTGTGTCATTTAAAACAAAACAATTCATAGCTACTACTGCTTACTGTTTTTTTTTTTTTAATATATATATATATATATAGTGACGATACACTGGACTTCCCTGCGCCCGTTTTCTTCAGGCATTTCCTGTTTGCTGAAGTCAGTGAACATTCCCGCACGTATGACGAATGCCTGGCTTTGCAGACCATTTAGTGCAGATGAGCCTAACAGTGACTTTCTTAGCATTCAAAGGAGTTCCTGCTCCCTCTTACCAAGGAAAACCCACCTTGCAGTAATCAAACACCACTTCCCTTGCAAAGCACTGGCCTGCCCCATCACCACTAACCAGGATTTAAGATTCTGATCTCATTTTCATTTCTGATTTTATTTACATACAGCTACAAAAAAGGGACTATGGGATTTAATTATGTTTCAAGTCAACTTATGCCAAAATGGAAACTTCTGCCATTTTTTCCAATTACGGCTCTCGTTTACAGCTAAATTGTAATGTTGGGGCCTTGGCTTAACAAAGCAAAGTTATTTTGAGTGTATTAGAGCTTCCTGTCACTACTAGGATCACCATTTCCATGCATTCAGCTGGATGCTCGCAGAGAACCTATTACAGGCCTATTAAAGACTCAGCGAGCCCCTGAAGCCAAATCACAAGAGGTCCAGAGACACACACAAGAGGCACTTTCATTTTAATGAACAATAACTACTTTCCCAGTGTTGGAAAAGGCTTCTCTGCATCAGTAGTCATCACGCGTAATGAGGTTTGGCTCGAGCTGAAATACCTGTGGTTTCAGTTATGGCAGCTTAAGCTGTGAAAGAACATTAAGGGGAAAGAGAGCAAAGATGGAGGACGTGTCCACCCCATCTCATGCATGGGGGCCCCTTGCCCGAAAGTCCTTTTTTTAAGGACTGCGAAACTGCTGTAAAACCACAGCATCAATAAGTGGAGGCCGACTTTCCCCTGTCAGCAACATGGCTCACACCATGGTGTCGAACTCGGCATGCCTGCAGGAGCAGGACGAGAAATAGCTATGGAAAAAAAAAGCTACGGCTGCAACTTGTATTTATAATTTGAAAGACGAACACCACCACAATTATTTCATTTTAATAGCTATGCGTGTACATAATCACAATAAAACCGGTAGGGCAAATAAATATATCCATAAAACAAACAACTAATTATGCTTTAAAACAGCCAATTAAAAAAGCAAAAAAAAATATTTTCAGCTTTTTTGGA